TCAGGGTCACAGCATCTGGGGGGTGCAGAGCTGGGGCTGGTCTTCACCGCCAGTAGGTTTCACTCCCACAAAAAGCTATGGTATATCCTCTCTTGTAACTGTGAGCTCCCCAAGGCCTGAATCAATGCTCCAGTTCAGAAAGAACAGACCCGCCCCAGTGGGGTGAGGTGGGGTGTGGTGGGGAATTTGGATGCGGGTAAGTTGCTTCTCCCATCAGGCCAAGCTCAGAGCCAGAGGCCAGGCTGGGGATGGGGCTCTCTTTGAAAGAGTGGGTCTTGCCTAATCCGCAAGAGCAGGGTCAGCCCTTCCCTGGCCCCCCAGGCTGGCCAAAGGGAGGCTAAGGCCAGAAGGGGGGCTGGAGAGGGAGGAGGTATCAGCCTGTCACCAAGCCACATTAACCTGCCCCCTACCCAGGCCTCCCACCTGGCCTGAATCCCACCACCACCATCACCACACACACCATTCTCAGCCAGCGCCTTCTCATTGTCTATTCTCTGCAGCTACAAGGTAAGCCTACAGTCCTAGGTTTGAGTTTGTCTGCAGCACCAGTTGTGTGACCCTGGGCCAGTGTCAACCTCTCTCTGAACTCCATCTACTGCAGAGGACTTCTCTGGCATCCAGAGAGAGGGTGTCTGTGAGGGGCTGGGACTTAACTGCCTCTCAGACCCTGAGACTGCGCTTGGGACTGCAGAGGGTGAGCCTGCTGTCTGTGGAAACATCCCAAACAGAGCTGCACAGCCTTGTGCGGTGGTATGAGTAGTGATTTTGTGTCAGGGGACCTGGGTACACAAGCCGAGCTCCATCTCTATCTGGCTGTGTGACTTAACCCCTGTGGTTCAGTCCTTGAATCTTCCATGCACTTTCCTATTTAATCTTTGCCACAGCCTTCAGAGGAAATGGATGCACAGAAGAAGCCATTAATTCTTTCATTCGGTCATTTGTTCAACCAGTAGTTATCGAACACCTACTATGAGTCTGACCTAGGTGCTGAGAGTTCAACAAGAGTCAGATAATTTGCGCGACCCATGTGGGTTTGAAGCCCAGCAGGCCCACTCAGCCATGGGCATCAGCAGTAAACAAGGGCCAGACAGGTCTCTGCCTCATGGAGCTCATAGTTGAGAAATGGGAGACACACAATGAACAAGTGAATGAGAGACACTATTTAAAAATATGGAAAATCAAAGCAGGTGCGGGAATGAGACGCACGGTCTGCTTAAGAGAGGTGGGCCAGATTAGGCGCCTGTGAGCTCTGAAGGACAGAGGCGGCCACAGGGCGAGGATCTACCGGAGAGCGAGTGAGGTGCCCTCACGCTGGAACCGACTATGTGGAACCGACCGTAGGAACTCTCATTAGGGTCAGCTGTCATTATTATCTTTATTATCGTGAGTACCGGCTCCCCCACTTCCCAGCTCTTTACGCCTCAGTTTGTACACACAGAGGTTTAGGGGTGCAGAGAACTGCGCCCTGTGGAGACCAGCCCTACAAGGGCGCTCCAAACAAGTTCTGCGCTTCCCGGACCCGGTTCCGCTCCAGGGGAGGGGCGGCCATGGGGGCCGGACCCTGGGAACTACATTTCCCATAATTCCGTCCCCGCCGCCATCTTGGCGGGTGGGCGGTGGCTGCCTGGGGTCTGGCCCTTCAGGCCGCCCGGATCGCTCAGCTCACCCCCAACCTAGGCCTCCATCATGGGGGGCGCGGAACCCCGACGAGTAGGCCGTTCGGTGACCTGGGCAGCGCCTGCCCGCCTTCTCCACTCCTCCACCCCCGGGCGTCCGGCCCACGTGTCCGTCCGCGCGAAGAAGCCTGCTCTTTACCCGCTGGCCAAGGGCCTGAGGACCCAGAAGTCGGGGGCTCCCACGTCGTCTCTTCCTCGGACCTCTGTCCTGTATACAGTGCCCACTCCCCTCCATTCTCAGACGGCCCCTGTTTTTGCTTCAGTTAGGACAGAACACTAGGTTCCCCGCAGGAGCGCAAATCCGGCTACCGGACGCTTAGAACGCCTGGGCTTGGGGCAGGAAGCTTAAAAGGGATAGCGGACAGCTAGGTCCAAACCTCTAAGGACTAGACCCTCTCCTAGCCCCTGCCCGAGGGCGGGGTAGGGGTGAGGGGCCTGCTGCAGGACTGTCCCTTTAAGGGGGTGTGGTCGGGGGGCGGGGGAAGCGATCGAGACAGAGAAAGCGGCTTCGGCTGCGGCGGCTCGGGCGGCGGCCGCGGGGGACAAAGGGCGGGCGGATCGGCGGGGAGGGGGCGGGGCGCGGCCAGGCCAGGCCCGGGGGCTCCGCATGCTGCAGCTGCCCCCGGGCGCCCCCGCCGCCGCCCTCGCAGCGGAGCCGTGCGGAGCCGAGCTCACGAGCTAACCCGAGCCAGCGGCCGGGAGCCAGCCGGCGGGCGTCCCGGAGGCGGCGGCGCAGGGAGGGGCCCGACGCGCGCACGTGGCCCCGGCGGCCGCCATGGCGGACAGCGGCCCCGCAGGGGGCGCGGCGTTGGCGGCTCCGGCCCCTGGACCGGGGAGTGGCGGCCCAGGGCCCCGCGTCTACTTTCAGAGCCCCCCTGGGGCTGCAGGCGAGGGCCCGGGCGGCGCGGACGACGAGGGCCCGGTGAGGCGCCAAGGGAAGGTCACGGTCAAGTACGACCGCAAGGAACTACGGAAGCGCCTCAACCTGGAGGAGTGGATCCTGGAGCAGCTCACTCGCCTCTACGACTGCCAGGTGTGTCCCCCACCCTATGCCGACACCGTAAAATCAGTCCCGATTCGGGCCGCCTGGGAACCCCACCTTGAGCCCGCCTGTCACCCGGAGTCAATGGGCGCTCCGCTTCCGCGCGCTCCCCAGCTCTCCGTACTCCCCGCCCCCAATGTATGCTCTTTCTTGTCTGACCTAAGTCACTCCTTTCTTATTTGCTGCCTTGGACAGGAGACTCGGGGCTTGTCTGGGCTGGCGGGGAAAGGAGATCTACCTATTGCCTGCTAGCCTAGACTAGTTAAAAGGCGCTAGCTAGCCTGGGTGGTGGTGGTACGGGTCTTGCCTATTCTAATGGGCTAACCTGGGGCTCCATCTTGTCATGGGGGGGCAGGCTAGCCCACTCTCTGGGTTCTAGTTCTCCACCCTATGACTCCTTCCTTGATCAAATGGTGACTCAGTCCCCGGGGGGCAGGGTGGAGGAGTGGGCTTGCCCTGTGCTGCCTACCCTAGCGCAGCCCTGGGATGCAGCTGACTCCAGACCGGAGACATGCTTCCTGGGGCGGGGGTGGTGGTGGTGGCAGGCACCCCCTCCCTCAGCAAAGCATGGGCTCTTTGTTTCCCCTTTACCAGGCCTGGGTCCTTCCCACTGACCCCTCACCCTTCACTTCCTCCTCACTCCTGGGAAGCTGTGACAGGTGTTTGGGGGAGGGGAAGGGGCTGTGATGAGTTGGGACAGCTGGCCCCACCTGTGCTCTGGTTGAGATGGGGGGCCCGGAAGTTGGGGAGACACATCTGCAGGGTTCCTAGCCCAGGATCCCCAGCCCTAGCTGTCTGGCACCCAGGGTGCCCAACTGGCAGGGACAGGAAGTTCCCCCCCATTGGGCAGTTTGCCTTGGCACAGGCCTGATCTGTTTTCTCCTCGGAGCAGCTGCCGCTGTCTGCTGGGCAAGAGGGCTGGCTCATCTGCAGTAGGGCAGGGGCCTCAGCCAGAGAGACCCTCTCACACCCTCTCTCCCAACTCAGGCCCTTGTTTCTCCCTCCTCCCCCACCCCCACCCCAGGAAGAGGAGATCCCGGAGCTGGAGATTGACGTGGATGAACTCCTGGACATGGAGAGTGATGATACCCGAGCTGCCAGGGTCAAGGTGAGAGGGGTTGGGGGGCAGCAGGGCCAGGTCAGGGGAGCAGGGAATAGAGGGGTGCCTGGAGGCACTGCTCCGTGGGTAGGCAAGCCTCTGGAGCCAGGCCTTCTTTGGCCTGAGTCAGCCAGCTCTGTGACCTTCCTGGGCTCAGCTTCTGGCTCCATCAAATAGGGCCAGTGGCACTTGCCTAGCTGTTCAGTAGCTGTGGCATCTCCTGTGCCTCAGGGTGGCCCCAGTGCCTTGGAAGAGGGTATAGGTGAACTTTAGGCTCGTGTTCTTGAGACTCATAGTTATACTTTCCCCCCGTGCCCCACTAGGAGCTGCTGGTTGACTGTTACAAACCCACTGAGGTAAGGAGGTGGTTTCCCCGGAGGGTGGGGTGAGGAGCCTGGGGTCCTGTCATCTTGGGTTCTGGTCGCCCTAATGTCCTCCCTCCCTCCAGGCCTTCATCTCTGGCCTGCTGGACAAGATCCGGGGCATGCAGAAGCTGAGCACACCCCAGAAGAAGTAAGGGTCCTCGACCCAGGTGAACGGTGGCTCCCACAGGACAATCGCCCCGCAACCTCGTAGCAACAGCAATACCGGGGGGCCCTGTGGCCAGGCCTGGTGCCATGCGCAGTGCTCCCCGTGCCCCTGGCCCAGGGGCCTCTTCCCTGCCCCCTCAGTTTTCCATTTTTGGGGTTTTTTATTATTATTAAACTGACGGGACTTTTTGTGTTTTTATATTGACTGCGGCGCGGGCCCTTTAATAAAGCTAGGCTATGCCTTTGGTGCAGTTGACAGGCTTGCCTGGCTTCTTTTACGGGGGACACACTGCTCTACAACTGCTGCCAGCTCAGCTTCTCCCCAGGTGACCGCACGCCTTCCTGAGGGCCATGAAGCCATGGCCGTACCCCAGTGCTGGCTCCCAGACCAGGATCTGGAAGTGGCTGGGGAGTTGGGGAGGAGCCGTTGTTGCTGCTGGCAGGCAGGAATACTCCTTTTCCCCTCTGGACAAGGGCCACCAAGTCACCCAGGGCTTGGCCATCATGACCTCCATGCCACTGAGCCTACTAGACCCCAAGGCTCTGCAGCCAGGAAAGGAGAGGGAGGGATGGGGGGAGGATGAGGGAGAGGGAAGGCTGAAGCTGTGGTTTCTAAGTCTCCAGGGCCCACAAACAAACACAGGCTCACTTCGTGGGCTTTAAAGTTTTTTTTCTTTCTTTAAACAGTCTGGTCCCAGATGGGGGCCTCTCCCCCAGCCCTCCCCAGTTTGGCTACAGTTCTGAACGTCGCTCGATTTTGAGCAGCTCCACCTCGAACACCAAGGTTGCACCGCCTGCAGGGGAGAAGTGGGATCAGAATGAGAACCAGGGCCACAGGGAGATGGAATGGGTACAGGAGACGGGGGGCAGGAAGGCTTATTACCTGGAATCTTTGGGGGAGCTCCCCGCTCTCCGTACCCTGCAAAGATGCACAAAGAAAGTGAGCCGTGGCCAGGCAGTGAGGTGTTCTGCAGACAACCAGGCTGAAACCAAGCCTCTGCCCATCCCAGCACAAGGCCAGAAATGGAGAAGGTGTAATGGATTTGGGAGGGGGCTGCTAAAGGTCTTGTAGAGGGCAAAGAGTGGGCACCAGAGCCAAGCGTCCCAAGGGTCTTGCCCTGTCCTCACTGCTGGACACAACTAGACTTGGAAGTGGCATGTATTGAATGGATTGAGTGGAGATCAGTGCAGAGGCTGAACCAGCCTTCACCCTTACGTAGATATAACCCTGAACTCCCTATCCCCATTCAGGAAGGGCCTCTTACCTAGCTCTGATGGGATCACCAGCTTCCGCTTTTCCCCCTCACACATCCTGTAGGACAATACATGTTCAGCATGTGGCAGCACCCAGGCTCCCTGCCCCCACCCCATACCTGGAGCTTGCCTCCCACAGTTCACCTCCTGGACCACAGCCATGGCCCCTCGACTCACCCTAGCAGCCCCTGGTCCCAGCCCTTGATGACCTGGCCCGTGCCCAGGGAGAAGACAAAGGGCTGGTTCTGGGGCAGGCTGCTGTCAAACTCTGTTCCATCTTCCAGCTTACCCTGTGAGACCATGGGAAGGCCAGTGAGGAGGAGGGTCTGCTCTGACACCCCCACCCCCAGGTGCTCTTCCCATCAAGGTGGCAGCCCACAGCACTGGCGGCCATAGTCCTAGAAAGGGACAGAACCTTGGGCAGCTCACAGTACATTGCACTGCTTGCTGGTGCCAACTGGGAGTAGACAGTCAAGAGCAAGATAGGATCATGCAAAGTAGATGAGGAGACTTGCCCAAGGTCACCCACCTTTTGGCAGACACACCTGGCTCCCAAGTCCTTTCTGGTCCCCGGAAGGCCCACCCACCCCCAAAAGCTCCACTTCCTCACCCACCGTGTAGTGCATGTGCAGGACGTCCCCTTTGCGTGATTTGATGGGACAGTGGTCTACCCGTTTCTTGACTCCGATCTGCAGCTTCCGTTTGCCCTCGGCCCCGGCGGCCGTGACCAGGGCGCTCAGGCAGATGGACAATACTGTCAGGACCCAGCTCAGCCTCATGTTTCTGCGGGGACAGACCCCGACCAACCAACCGGGGGAGAGGAACGGGAGGGCATGGAATATGGGCAAGTACCAGGAGGATTCCACCCCACCGTACCTTGCCTGCCCCTGGGGATCCCCTTGTCCCGTGTCACCGCCCCCACCCCCAGGCTCCGCGGCCACACTTACCAGTCCAGTGAGAAGGGGGCTTGCCCGAGGACCCCAGCAGCGGGGGGAGGGGGTCAGGGGAGGCCACAGCAGCCAGGGTCCAGCCCCTTTGCTCACCCCCTGCCCTTCCGTCCCTCCCAGTCCCCAGCTCTGCTCTTCAATTCCCCCCTGTCCCTTTCCGCAAAGTCCAAACCCTATCTGGCTGCGCAGCAGTTGCCCCAACCGGGCGACCCCATTCACGCCACACCCAATTGCCTCCCGCCCAGCAAACCCACACCTCTGCGGCTGCCGCAGGGGGTCGGCCCCGAGGCACCCACACATCGCCGCTGGGTGGCTCCGGGGAGCCCCTGTCCTCCGGGGGTACCCCCCAGGCTGGTCCTGTGCCTCCGCCCGAGGCGCCGCCCCAACTCTGAGCCCTCGGGGGCCTGCGGGGCACCCAGACTGGCCCCGTGTCGGGTGGCCGCCGAGCCCGCTCCACCCACACCACCTCTCCCGGGGGAGTTCTCGGCCTACCGCGTCCCCAGGCACGGCCACCACGGAGACCGCCCCCGCGTGGACGCCCCGGGCCATTACCTGGGCCTACCCCTTCGCTGGGCTCCTTAGCCCCACCCTTTAGAGGGCGTGGTTCCGCCCCCGGCCCTGTAGTCCCGCCCCCGACAGGACTAGACCCCTTTTCCTGAACTGTAGCCGCGCCACTCACCGGCTGAGGCCGCGCCCCCAGTGCCTGGGCTCCTTCCCCCTCGGTCTCCAAACCCGAGGCTCCTCCTTCCGCCTGTTCCAGCTCCTCCTCCAAGGGCCAGCCTCCGTCCCTCACCAGTCCGAGCCCCGCCCCCAGCCCTGGAGCTCCGCCTTCCACTGGCACAAGCTCAGAGGTCCCACCCGTCTCCGTTCCACGTCCCGCCCCGACTCCCGGAGCCCCGCCCCGTGAGGCGTGAGAACCCTCCCCCTGCGGCATCCCCAGACAGCTCTGACCCCAACCCTCAATTCCCTCGTAACCTATCCCTTGTTGACACTCAGAGCCCCGGCCCGCTCCTGCCCCGCCTGATCCAGCCTGCCCCCTTGCACCCCGGCTCCCCACAGCCCGGGCTGTGGCCCCCGCTCACCTCCTCGCCGCGCCCCCGGAGTCAACCCCAGTCCTGCTGCCGTCTCTGCGCAGGCGCGTCATCGTTGCCACCAGACCCGGCCACGCCGCCCGCCCTCATTGGACCGTGCGAAACCCGCGGCCACACGCCCGCCTGGGCGGCCTTCTCTAGCTCCGCCCCCCGCGCCGCCATGTGACTTATGCGTCAGGTCCGGTGGCTCTGTAGTCCGTAAGGTTAGGTGAAAGTGACTTCTGAAAGGGCCGAAGGCACTTCCGGTCGAGGTGAAATTAAGGTCAGGTGGGCGCGGGTTCGCGGCGGGGGTCTTGAGACACCATTTTATGTCGCCCCCAGCCTCTCCTGTTTGCCCCTGAGCCTCTTCAGGATCCACAATCCTCAGTTGCTGTGGAAAGAGCCTGGCTTCAGAGTGAGCCCTGGGTTTGAATCCAGGGTCTGCCACTCATTGACAGGCTATGTGACCTTGAGCAAGTTCCTTGGCCTGGTAACTCGGGCTTGGTAACATCCACCCCGCAGGGCCCCTGGAGGATTGCTGCAAGTGATGTGCACTGCCAGGCCCTGGTCCACGGCGAATGCTCTCTCCCTTTTTTCTCTCCCAGTGTACAGGCCTGCCTCTACGTGCTGCACGATGACCCCTGAATCATGACTGTAATGGTCTGGCTGGGTCCGTTCCCCAACCGGACTTATTTCCAGGCACCACAGCACCCAGGAGTGAACATCTGTCCATTGAAGTAATGAACCTGCAGTTGGGAGGCAGATAAACCTAAGTGGAGTGTTAGGGAGAGAGTCGACCTGAGGTCAAATCCCCAGGTCAGTCAGAGTTTTCGAGCCTACTTCCTCAACTGAAAAAGGGAGACTCTCAACACTCAGAATTGAGGACTAGGCGAGAAGGCACATACGAAGCCGTGTGCACGCTGCGCAGGCTTAAATGGTCTCGGGAGGTGGTAGCTACTGTCCCTAACCCTCATCTGTCTCACTCTAATTGAGCTCTGGCATTTTGGGTGACAGAATAGCTGAGAAAATGACTTGAACGTAGCAATCACTGTCAGGAATTGTCTCTTCTGGTTTAACCCCACTCTTGGCCCAACAAGATCATTACCCCACCCTCTAACACTTCAGAGAAGGCCTCCATTAGGGTAGCTGCTTTGGCTTAACCTCTGCCATGAATGTTCTGTCTCGATGGGGCAAAGCACTGGTGCCCAAGGTTGCCCTTCAGTTCACCCCCTCATCACTCAGACCCAGGGGCACTGAAGGTTACAGGCCGAAAGCTGGCCACTGAGCTTGGGCTGGGTCAGATAAAGGTCAGAGGAGTCCCAAGCAGCGCCTGAGGAGGGGAGCCCAAGGTGCAAGGGAGGCGAGAGTGGAGAAGACCGTGTGGCCGGGGTGAGCGGGGCCCACCGACCACAGACCTCTGGTGCTGCCTCCCTTTCAGGGATGTGGGAGTGAGGTGAGGGCAGACCAGGTGCGTGACCTTCGAGTTAAGCTACCGGGAGCAAAAAGCTGCAAACACAGAGTGTAACCCGGCAGGGAAGATGGGTGTCCTTTCCTATTACGTGACTCTCTTTTTGGAGCCCAAGGGCCCAGACCACAGTAGTCATCGGCTCCCTCCGTGTGCACATGTGGGGACTGAGCCTCAGAAAGAGAGGCCGTGACAACCAAGGTCATTCAGCAGACCTGGGTCCCACCTCAAGCTCACTGGCCCTCTCCTTCCAGAAAGGAACCCTTGTAATGAGCAGAGGGGCAGGGACTCCCCAGGGCCTGCTAGCACAACATGAACGTGAAGGATGCACGATTCTGGCTCTGTGACCTGTTGTGGGGCCTTGGGCCTCATCTCCTCTAAGCTCCATGTCTAGGAGGCAGTGTGACGCAGACATTCATGTCCAAACCAGCCAGCCCGGACAGTGACAAAGAGTGACACAGGCAGGGACAGTTCCTTCTATCTCTTTTATCGGGACTGGGGTTCACAGTTCTTGTACTGAAGCCCAACTCTCATTTTTTTGTAGAGGACCAGGGTCTTCTTAGTGAGGGGATGGAGGAGCCAGTTGTAAGATGCTCACTTGCACAAGGTGGTTAAAAACTGAGCCGGGACCCCATTCTCTCCCAAGATGGTACATGACCCCTTGTGCTGCCTCCAGGTCTCTTCATCCAACTCTGTCCACTTTGTTGGACGGCAGCCTCAGAGAGACAAAGGGCAGTTGGAAAGCCCTCTGAGAGGCCCAGGTCCTGGAGGAGCTTCCGCCCAGGTTGAGGTCTTGGGGACTGGACTGTTCTCACCAGGATGCCCTTGTTGCCCTCTGGGCAGGCCTGCGAGGCAAGTGGCCCCACCGAGTTTGAAAAGCAATGTATCACCTTCGCAGCTTCCGGCACCTGAAAAAGGAAGGAGGGGTCTGTTCATGCTGGCACAGCTCAGCCCTTGCTCCTCTAGACTCACCCACTTCTTACCTTCTGTGAACCTCATTCTCCCCTAACACTCCTGGGAAGCCCCAGCTGGCCTGGTCCACAGGACGCCACCCCATGGCCCCGCTGTGGAAAGGAGGGGTGGTGAGAAGCAACTTGGACAAGGGTGGACCAGCGTTCCACCACATCCCCTGGCCTCTTGGAGCACATAAGGTGGAACAAACTCTACCACAGGGGTTTCTGGGAAGCCTCAGAGCCTTGCAAACTGGAAGGCTGTCTTTCTCTTTTCTACACCTGGCGATGTCACGTCTTCCAGGACATCTCTAACCTCTCAAAGACAACGTCAGGGGGCCCTCACCACAGGTCTTGACTTGACCTCCTGTGCCCTCATGTCTGACTCCGCATCAGAATGTGAGCCTTGTTTATGCTGACCCCAGTGCCAGCAGGCGCCTGGTCAATAGTTCAGCACACTCAAAGTTTCCCCTTCCCTGGCTCTTCTCCCACCAGCAGGCTCACTGGGACCTGCTCCAGGATGGCACCTTGACGCCACACCCGACTCCTCACCTGCAGGTGTCTGGGTTGAGCTCTAAGCCCCGCCCTTGACAACGGAGGAAGCTGCGGCGTCGGCAGCGGCAGCGGCAGGTCCGGGGGTCAGGGCGCTGGCGGCGCTGGGGGCAGCGTGGGCAGAGGGGCCTGGGGCTGGAGTGGGATGGGTGATGTCAGCTGGGGAGGGTGCTCCGGGGGCAGGGTCCCAGCCCAGAACAGAGCGGGGCTGGGGACGGTGGTGGGGAGTGGAAGCCCTAGGAGGAGAAGCAACATGTCTCGGGTGAGAAGTAAGAGTCTTCCCGGGAGCTGGGGTTGGGGAAGAGCATATAGTCTTGGGGAGCAGAGGAAAAGGGGAGAGGGGGACACGAGTGGGAGGAGAAGGCGGGGGACCACAACTTCCTGACACACTCTTACACCCCCTGCCCCACCCACACATTACATTCTGGGTGCTGGGCCTGGGCTCCAACCCCACCTCAGCAAGAGCCCAAGACTCACCTGTCCAGCTTCACAGCACTCTCTCGTTTTTTTGGTCTGAAAAGTAAGAGAGACAGACAAAGACAAGGAAAAAGAGGATCAGGAAGCCAAGCATCCTACTCTCTTGCCCTAGATCCGAGGCCTACCTGGCTATACTCTTGGAAACCCGGTCCCCGCTGTGGTGTACCACCACACCTAGCACCCCCCAAGCCTTGTCTCTGCGAACTCAGGAGTGGGGCCTGGCTGGCACCTGCATTCACACTGGCTGTGTTCTTCCAGGGACATCTCTCCCAGCTGACTGCTTGGATACCGGATCATGAGGATCTGTGCTCAGAACAGGGAGAGAGACCGTCAGAGAGAGAGGAAAGGGACGCTCCATGGGCTGGAGAAATGAGAATACCTTGCCCACCAGCCAGGGCTCTGGCCGCCACCCTCTCAGTCCCCAGAACGCCAGCATCCAGCCAGGCACACTCCACCTGCCCCATACCTGCATTCGGACTTGGTGCTGCCCAGTGGGCACACACTCCAGGCCGTCGTCAGGGCAGCAGCCGCCACAGCGCTGCACCGTCACGCAGCTGGGCACCAGTTGCTTGGCCACAGTGCCCATGAGCTCCATGGTCAGGGGCACCACAACCTCCCGCGGCTGGCAGGTGGCACGAGCATACACGTCTATCCATGACACCACTGGGGGCAGATGCGTAAGGGTTAAGTCCCCACTGGGTTTCCTGCAGCTGCTCCCTGGTTCCCCTACCCCTGCGCCCAGAAGCTGTTCTCCTTTGTTCTCGTGTCACAGCCACCCTCCGCTAGCCCCTACTTCTGCCCTCCCAATCTCTCTTCCCTGTCCTGTTCATCCAGAACCCAGGAACCCCCCTGCCTCAATCTCCTCTTCTGTGAAATGGGCAGAATAAGAGTTTGCATCTTACAGAAGAGCGTGATTACACAAGATGAGGAATACAGAGTCTGGAATCAGGACTGGAAGAAAAGATTCTTAGTGCTGGCTAGTAGAAAGTTCCTATTGTTACTATTACCTTTCTTCTGATGACCAGGGGCATCAGGCTGGGAGACCGGGCCCTGCAGGAGAGAAGAAACCTGGACCCAAGGTGCACTCCAGGAAGGGCTAGCCCTGTCGCTGGCCCCAGGGCTCTGCCCTTGCAGTCAGGAGGCTTATTTCCAGACTACTCTGTTCCTGGGGCCACTCTAGCTTTACCTGTCCTCTCCAGGCCACCTGGGACCTGGGACCTGCCCTGTCTACAACCCCCCAGGCACGCTCTGCCGGCAGCGTCGAACCTCCAAGCCTAGGGACCGGGCTTGTTCTCGAGGCCGCAGATCAAGAGGGGGCACAGTGAGCGCCGAACCGCGTCCTGCAGGCACCGAGGCGGCCCCGCCCCCCGGCTGCGCCCTGGGGACGGGGTGGGGCGGGGGAGTGGCCCCGGAGTTGGGCCGGCGGGCGGGCGGGGAGGGACGCCTCCCGGGGGATGCCCAGGCCGGGCTCCCGAGACGCCCCCGTCCAAGGCCCGACCCCGCGGATCCCCGAGAACCCGGCCGCTCCGCGCCTCCCCACTTCCGCCAACCTTGAGAGAGGGCACGGCGGGCGGGCGGGTTGTCGCGGACGCACGTACCTGGGCGGGGGCCAGCTGCAGGAGCGCGGCGAGCAGCAGGCGGCGGAGCAGGGGGCTCATGGTGCCCGCAGGGGCCGCGCGCCGGGGGCGCCCGCATCGCCCTAGCCCGGCGGCGCGGGCGGCGGCGGCAGCCAGAGCCCCATGGCGCGGGCCCGGGAGCGGCGGGCGGGGGCCGGGCGCGGTGGGCGGCTCCTCCGCGGCCCCCTCCCGAGCCCTGGGCGCAGGCAGCCGCAGCGCAGCGCAGCGGCGGCGGCGGCCGGAGGAGCCGGGCGGGCGGGCGGCCGGTGGTGGCGGCGGCGGGCGGCGGGGACGGCGGGGACGGCGGGGGGCCGGGCCCGGGCTGGCGGGCGGGCGGCTCATGTGACCCAGACACGCGCTCCCCACCGGGCCGCGGGGCGGGGGCGGGGTGGGGGAGGGGGGGCGAGGCCGCCGGCGGGGCCCGCCCCCTCTACACACACCCCACCTCCTGCCGCAGCAGGGGAAAGGGGACGCACCGCCCAGGGGGCCGGGCTCCCGGGTGGCCGCCGCCAGAGCCCGGAGGGCGGGGCCCGGGCCGGGGGCTCTGGGCCTGTAGGAGCGAGCCAGACAAGAGCTCTGAGAATCACTTTATTGCACGCGTTTTGGGGAGTGGGGTGTCCCAGAAGGGAGCACACCGCAGGCCCCATCCAAGGTGTGCTCTCCAAGGTGAACCGCTCAGGGGCTGGGGCCGGGGGGCACGATCCCGGGGCCTTGAGGAGGCCCGGGTGGTGGCTGCAGCTGCTGCCCCAGCCGTTGCTCCTCCTGGAGCCTGGCTCTGTTGGCCCTGCAGGGGAGAGTACCTGGTGGTCAGGTTGGGATCCTGGAGGGTGGTGCCAGGACAGTGAGGAGAGGGCAGGAAAGAGCTGGGACAGACCTGGCCCGGGCCCGAGTGTCATTGTAGATGGCTGTGATGATCCGATCCTTTTCATCCATGAAGCTACGATGCATCTGCTCCAGCTTCCTGCAAGGGGGTTACAACCGACTCTGGGAATCCCCAATCCCCGCTGTCTCCCAAGTCCCACCCCCCTCTACCCCACTTGAGGGTCTCACAGCTTTACACTTGTGGGGACCTCAGCTAACTGCCTGTGCTAGATGAGGAAAGGGGCACAGAGTAGCTGGTTCTTGTCCAGGGCCTAATGGCGACCCAGGTCCCTGACTGTCCTGAAGGTGGTGACAGCAGCTCTGTCATGGAGGTCCTTCAAGGCGACTAGAAAGGTGTGTTCATCTAACTCCATCACTGAACTAGGCACACTGCTAGCAGTGTGCACCAGCCTTTAGGTGTGTTTGCTATTGAACCTCAGTGGCAATGGCGCGCATGAGAGAGTGGCAGGAAAACAGCAACTGCTAAACAAATGAAGGCAGTTTCTGGCGAGGCCCAGTTCAATGCATTTCCTTCTTGTGCAGGATTCTGGTTGGCTCCAGCACTCTCTGGCAACCAGCACCAAAGATTTAAATCCAAATTATAAAAAACTGAAAATGACATTAGCCCTTAGTGCAGAGCTGCCTTTGCTAAATAAGACGAGACTCTGGAGGAGACCTATTTCATGCAGTTCTTAGCTTGAGAGACACAAGGGTGCAGGCCACAGGGGTGGTATGGATGGATGGCTGACACTGGGCTTCACCCACCCTCCTGCCCTCTGCCCATCACCCTAGGGGGACGCGCACCTGAAGGCAACATAGTGCAGGCCCATGCCTGCAAGCATGATCAGGAGGCAGTACCCCAGCACCCGCCGGTTGTGCTTGTGCTGCTGCTGCCTTGACTCTGGTCCCTGAGGCCTCACTTCATGAAACTGGGCCCAGTATTTTGCATTGGGGGGTGCCCAGGAGCTGCTGGGAGGTAGAAGAAGGGACAGTGTAAAGACGGGGCTCCCCAGGAGACTTGGGGGTGGCAAGCTGGGGGCAGGACTACTGTACCTGTGTGCCTGATGAGCAGACCTGGGATGGGCTGTGGTTCCTGGACACTTTGGGGAAGCTGCTGAGCGGAGCTGGTGGTCATAGCTGCGGCGGCTCTGCTCACGGCTCAGCACTTGGTACGCTTCACTCAGCTCCACAAAGCGGCTGTGCAGAGCTGGGTTCCTGGGGTCCCGGTCAGGGTGCAGCTGGGGTGGGGCAGGACTCCCCTCATCTCCCTTCCCATGACCTGATAATATCCTGATAATATCCACCCACAAGGGCTCATATCATACCCAGAGGCCCTCCTTGGGCAGTGACCCTCACTCTCAGGCCTGCACATCCCTCTAGAAGACCAGAGAGTCAGGAAGCACAAACTCCTGCCCCCTCCCCTTGTTCAAGCCCTCTCCACCTGCTGCCTGGCTCTCATTGGATGCCCTGGTCCCAGCTTTCTCAAGAGCAGGCAGGTCAAGAGAACCAAACCCAGCCCATCAGACAGGACTCCTGGCTCCTGCCCCACAGCCCTTCCTTCCACCCGGCCAGACCTCTCCCCTTGGGGCAGCTCCCCCTCCCTATGAATGCTGAGGGAATGTGCACCAGCCAGAGTGAGCCTCTCAGCTCCATTCCTGAGAATTTGGAGCGGACCCCATCTGGCTCAGACTTCCCTTCCCCCACTCCACTTAAGACCACTGGTACCTCTTTGGACTTGGAGAAGAAAGCTCGTTTAACTTCTTCAGCGCTGGCACCAGGATGCACCCCCAACAGTTCATAGTAGCTACTGGGGCCAGACCTGTGGAGAGAGGCCCAAACCTGCAGGGGCTAAGGAAAACACAGAGGATACCCCTTCCCTGCCCGTCCCAGCCCCGCTGGACCACACCCTTCAACTCAGCATCCAGATGCTGAGGGGGCTGAGGCAGGTGCCAAGGGAGATCTCGAAATCATCCCTCCCTTTTTGAGTGTTCCAGGTAAGGGGCAGATCAGATTGTCTCAAAGTGTAGTTTTCAGACCCCTTGCATCAGAAACGCCTGAAAAGCATGTTTTAAAAAATAGATTCTTGAGGCCCACCTCATTCCTGCAAATCAGGATCTCCAGAGCAGCGCCCAGGAATCTGCAGTTTTGTAAGCTCCCCACACCCCGCCTGGGTTATGCACAGCGATGCTTGACAACCACCTGAGTTGTGGAATGTGCATTGGGTTTGGTTGGGCTCAAATTCCAGATGTGCCACTTAACTCTCTGTATGACCTTGGGGGGTCATCCTTTAATCTCTGATCCTGTGCCCTCAGCAGTGAAGGTGAGGGTAATCTGACAAGCCTGTAAGGCGCCTGACGCAGCGTAAGAGATCACGACTATCCCAGCACCTAGACTATCCCGGCACCTAGCGCAGGGCCTAGAATTGGGCAGGCCAGCCACAAAAACCTACTGAACGACCGGGCCCGGCCCCAGGCGCCCGACTCACCCCTGCCGGGCGGCCGCTGCGAAGAACCGAGTGGGAGGGTTGTGGGGCCACAGCCGGCGCAGGCGCAGGGGCAGCATGAAGGCAGGCGGGCAGCTGGTGAAAGGTCACAAAGAACAGTGGGACGGGAGAAGACTTCAACCACTGCAGCGGGGATGAGGGGTGGGGGTGAGGGGCAGAGGGAAGGGGCCTGGCCCCGTTGAGATGCAAAGGAAAACTGAAGCAGGCCCGGGGGACTCAGGGGCGGGTGGAACCTCCCTGCTTAAGACCAGACCCCAATGTCCTGGCCCTGTCCCCGCCTCTGACCCGGGCGTCTGTACAACCAGCCCCGGACGCCGAGACCCCGCTTCCCACCCTGGGAGCTCGGGGGGCGGGTGCGGGAAGAGCCACACCAAGCCCCGCCCCCCCTTCACTCACAGACCCCTCGGCGGCCGCCGTTTCCTGCTCCTATTCAGGCCCCGCCTCCACACTCTCATTGGCTTAGACATCCAGACCACGCCCACAGGCCTGAGGGTGCGGAACAGCGGCGAAGCCCCGCCCCCGCACATCCATTGGCCTTTGACGCCTCGGATCCACCCATCGAGACAGCAGCCCGGGGACTTGCAGAAAGGCGCCAGCGCCCACCCGGGGAGGCTGCGGCTGGGGGCCTGACCCTCAGTGAGGCTTTCGGCTCAGCCCCCGTTGCTCTGTTCCCTCGGACATGGCTGTTACTCCACTCTGCAGCGAGACGCGTTTCACAAAGCAGTTTCCACCCCATAATCGGCCTGGAACTTCACCGGAGCCTGGCAAGGGGGCACAGCCCTTAGCTTACAGAGGGGAAAACTGAGGCTGGGCCTTTTTTTCCCCCAAGTCACTTGTCCTGTCTCTCTCAGCCACCCCGGCCCCTCTCTCTGTCTCACGGAAACAGCAGATGCCAACGGAATCCAAGAATAAAGTCCTTTATTGTCTTCCGAGCTGTGGTGATAGGGCTGGGGACTCTAGGGCGACTTAGGTGGAACTTTCCTGGAATTCGTTGTAGAGGAAGATGGCGCCTTTGGCTGAGGGGCAGAGCTCGTCCCACATTTCAGTCTCCTGCAACCTCCTCACACTCTGTGGGAAGACAGTGAGACCCAAACATTCCGACCTCGGGTTTCTTGCAGGAGCTGTGCCCACAGTTCTGGCCCTCTCCCTTGGGCTGAGGGCATCCCCAATGAGGTCTTGTGCCTCTGGAGGGAAGCTCTGAGAGATTTGGGAGGCCCCTCTGACCCAGGCCCAGGAGACAGACATGCATCACCAGGCCTCTGCAAGCCCTAACCCAGCTCCTTGTCCAAATGAGACACACTTTGCCACCTCAAACCTGTGTCTCCACAAAGATGATTCCTGTGGATTCGTGGGCCTCAGGTCCCCCACTCGTGTAGTGCTTCCTCACCTGCTCAGAAGTCAGGCTGCACCTGGACAAGGATGTGAGAGTGGCCTGGTGAGTGCTTAGACCCTGTAAGGTCCCTGTGGAGTCCCAGCTGCCTCAGCCATGCCGCTCAACCACCCACCTACTCCAGGACCGAGGACCCCGTCTCCCAGAGCTCACTCACTGGACGTAGAACTCAGCACTGGCACGGCCGGCACTGGTCTCATTGCAGGCAATGCCCAACAGCAGCGGCTGGCTCAGGGTGAGCAGCGGCAGGTTCACCTGGGGCCAGGCGTACCACCTGTCAGTGCCCACTGCCCACATCCCTGCCCCTCTCAATGAAGAACAGCATGTTACCCTTGTACCGCATTTTACAATGTGTAGTTCAAGTGCCCAGAATCACAGAATGTCAGATCTTGGGCATGTTCATTTCACATGGGAAAACCACAACGGGAGAGATGGAACAGTTAGCCCAGGGTCACCCTAGGGAAGTCAATTTAGTAACTGGGGGCTTCCCTGGTGACGCAGAGGTTAAGAATCAGCCTGCCAATGCAGGGGACACGGGTTCGATCCCTGGTCCGGGAAGATCCCACATGCTGCGGAGCAACTAAGCCCGTGCACCACAACTATTGAGCCTGCGCTCTAGAGCCCACGAGCCACAACTACTGAGCCCACATGCCACAACTACTGAAGCCCATGCGCCTAGAGCCTGTGCTCCGCAACAAGAGAAGCCATGGCAATGAGAAGCCCGCGCATTGCAACGTAGAGTAGCCCCCGCTTGCCTCAACTAGAGAAAGCCTGTGCACAGCAACGAAGACCCAACGCAGCCAAAAATAAATAAATAAAAATTTAAAAAGTAATTGGGACTCCCATTTACTCCTCTTTTCAACAAACCTGGCGGAAGTAGGCAAGACATTTATTATTGTCCCCATTGTAAAGAGGAACACAGAGACAAGGCACACAGAGATGAGGGTTAGAATTCCACTCCAAGTGTGCCTAGCTGCAAAGCCAAGCTCTTTGCTCAATGCCAGATGCCTGGGAATTCCCTGGCGGTCCAGTGATTAGGACTCCACACTCTTACTGCCAAGGGCCTGGTTTCAGTCCCTGGTCAAGCAACTAAGACCCCACAAGCCACATGAGGCAGCCAAAAAAAAAGCCAGATGCCTACAGACACTCCTGCCATCCCAGACCTGTGAAATTCTGGATTGTTCTATCCCCTCCCTCCTTGCCCACCACTCTGTCCCACCTGCCTCTCACTCACCTCATCACAGATCTCCTGAAGGACACTGGAGAAGAGCTCATGCACCACCAGCTCCCCAGGGAGGTTGATGTGCAGGGGTCTGCCACTTGGGCACAGGGCCTGTAAGAGGTCAGGCTCAGCCCCTGCTCCCCTCTTCTCGCCCTGCTTTTCCCCACATTCACTGGCCCTGAGGGCCTGGTTGGGCACAGAGTGAGAGCCTTGGTGATCCCCTGACCCAGGCCCTGTTTTTCCAGATGGAAAACCACAGGTCCAGCTAGGTCCTCCATCCCTACCCCCACCCCCAATTCCCTAACTTCCCATGGGTCTGGGGCAGGATTCAGCAGGGAGGCTGAGAGGCTGCCCTGAGCGGAGACTTTCGGATAAGCACCAGGCCAACTCCCCCTTTAAGGGATGAGGAAAACAAAGCCGAGCTCTCTGGGTCTTTGTGCCTTTGCGCCCAGCCTGGCATCTCACCTGAGGCTCAGGGTGCCCACCGGGCACGTCCACTAGCCCAGGTGCCTCAGCCACCTGCCCAGAGCGGCGCAGGAAGACAAGGAAGTCGTCAGCAGTGGCCAGTGCAGCGCCCACCCCTAAGGGGTCTGCCAGGTAGGCTTGCTTGTCACCCCAGTCGGTGGCCCCCTGCTGTCGCAGCCAGGCAGCTGAGCTGGCCCAGTTGGTGCCCAGGAAGTCTCGATAGGAAGTAAGGCCCAGGCACAGGTGCAGCTGTGGCCCCGGCGAGCCAGTGGGCACCAGGGTGGCAGAGTGCAGGCGGAACTTGGGGGCGTCAAAGAGCCAGGGCTGGGCCTGAAGCCGGCTCTCCCAGACTGCAGTGATGGCCTTCTCCCCTCCTGGCAGTGGGCGACGATCGTAGGCAGGGCTCAGCTCAGCCCGTACCTGCTCCTCAGGCAGCCCCCCCGGGGGGCATTGCAGCAGCAGGGACACCTCAGGGTCCATGATCTGGATAGGGCAGTTCTGGGGGAGGGCAGAGCCAGGCCTGTCACCCCGGGGGACCCACAGCCACCCTTGGACCCGACAGCTGGCCCCCTCTGCCACAAACCTCCTGAGGGTACTTCCAGCCCTTCTGCACCCCCCTGACCCCTCCCTGGGCTGTAAAACGTCTTATCATCCCAGCAAGAGCTCCGAGGCTCCTGCTACCAGACATCCCTGAGACTCCCGGGCATCCCTACGACTCAGAGGTCCTGGGTCCTGTCACCCGCTAATGCCTCTGTCTCCCCAAACCAAAAGTCTTGCCTCCAACCCCTGACGCGGCTGTAACCCTTCCCAGGGTCCGGAAGCTCCAGGCTGCAGCCGGCAATCACCTGCCTACTCTCCTCGCAGGCTCCGCCTCTTTCCCCCGGAGCGGAAGTACCCGCCCCCTTCTTCCTCGGCTTCTCATTGGCCGGTCCTGGCGCTCAGGGCCCGTCGGGGTCAGCTGACGGGCCCGTCCGGTTCAGCTGCCCGGCCCCCGGAGTCGGTGAGCCTTCCTGTCTGTCCCGGCTCAGTCTCTCTGGCCGGCCCAGACATTTCTGCCCCGTTAGCCTGGTTGCCGGCCCCGCCTCCCCAGGCCCGCTTTGCGGGGCAGACCAGGAGCCTGGGTCGCAGGGAGGGGCTCGACTTCCCTGGGCCCTGTGGCTGACAGAGTGTCACCATGGGCAAGTCTTGCTGGGCCTCAGTTTCCCTATCTGCACCAGGGAGTTAGGGGTGGGAAGTGAATTTAGAAATCTGAATATCTCCCTCCCAGCTCTCACATCCTGAGGCTTTGTGACTTTCTGGGCATCGTGGGGACATGGGAAGGTCCTTAACAGTCTCCACATTTCACTGCTCCCCACAGGTCTTGGCCATGAACGCCTCTAGAGGAAGGAGGCAGGAAGCAGCAGGGCCCAAGGGTAGAAGGGCTCACAGACCCCGGGAACAGGTGCGCCCCCCCCACCCTCACCCCTGCTCCCAATGTGGGAGGGCAGGGGAGGGGGTCCTGCTCCCTGGGAAATGCTGGTGGGGTGGGAGTGGGGGCAGATGGATTGTGCTGTTCTCGGGGAGCACAGGGACTCCTCTCCCTCTGGTCTCCTACAGCAGATCACTGAGTTCAGGGTGAGCAGCAGGGCACGGTCACCACGGGGACTAACGGCCGCCTCTGGGCTCTTTCAGGACCGGGATGTACAACTGTCCAAGGCTCTGTCCTATGCCCTGCGCCACGGGGCCCTGAAGCTGGGGCTTCCCATGGGGCCCGGTAAGTGAGCATCTTAGAGGCTGGGCCCAGGAGTGGTTGGAGCCCAGGGAGCAGTGTGAGCCCGTCTGTGACTGCCTTCCCTCATGGCTCCCACCGCAGTCCTATGAGAACAGCACAGAAGGCACATCCCTTCGGATGACCGAGGCCCAGAGCCCAGTATAATGTCCAGGGCAGACTGGGAGAGGAGCCTCTATCTGGGCCAGGCCTGGTGATGCCTCCAGCCCAGTGGTCCAATAAACACTTATCCCAAGACTGGGCACTGCGGGGGTGTTGGGGCAACTGATGTTTATTGAGTGTCCCCTCTGGGCTGGGTACTGTGCTCAAAAGGGTCACTTGATCTTTGTGACCCTCCATGAGGCAGATCCTATTCCCATATAAGTTGAGAAACTGAGGCTCAGGAAGGGGAGACTTTCTTTTTTTTTTTTAATTACTTAATTAATTTTTAAATTTTTGGCTGCCTTGGGTCTTCGTTGATGCGCGCGGGCTTCTCTAGTTGCGGCGAGTGGGGGCTATTCTTTGTTGCGGTGCGCGGGCTTCTCATTGCGGTGGCTTCTCTTGTTGTGGAGCACGGGCTCTAGGCGTGCAGGCTCAGTAGTTGTGGCTCGTGGACTCTAGAGCGCAGGCTCAGTAGTTGTGGCACACGGGCTTAGTTGCTCTGCGGCATGTGGGATCTTCCCGGATCAGGGCTCGAACCCGGGTCCCCTGCATTGGCAGGCGGATTCTTAACCACTGTGCCACCAGGGAAGTCCCAGGGGAGACTTTCTAAAGGTCGCACAGGCTCTGTTCTTGTTGCTTGTGGCTTCCCCTGTTAACTGTGGCCCAGGCCAGGGCAAGTTCAGCTCCTGACCACTCTGCCTGCCCACAGATGGTTTTGTGCCCCTGGACACCCTCCTGCAGCTGCCCCAGTTCTGCAGCTTCTCAGTTGAAGATGTGCAGCGTGTGGTGGACACCAATGGGAAGCAGCGGTTCGCCCTGCAGCCAGGGGAGCCCGGCGCCGGCCCTCTCATCCGGGCCAATCAGGGTCACTCCCTGAAGGTGGGAGCTAAGGGGACAAGTGGGAGAGCCATGTGAGAC